CCTCATGATCACAACTAAGTATTCGAGAATACTCATTTTCCACAGTGTTGTTCATAGTTTCTGATGATCCATATAATTGAAAGCATTTGCATAGTCAATAAAGCACAGGTAAACATCTTTCTGGTATTCCCTGCTTTCAACCAAGTTCCATCTGACGTCAGCAATGGTAGGTATCCCTCATTCCATATCCTCTTCTGAATCGGCCTAAACCTCTGGCAGCTCCCTGTCAATGTACTGCTTGCAGACATTTAAAAATTATTTTTAACAAAATTTTACTTGCATGTGATATTAATTATATTGTCTAATGATTTCTGCATTCCACTGACTCACCCCTCTTTGGAATGGTCACAAATATGGATCTCTTCTAATCACTTGGCCAGATAATTGTATTTGAAATTTCTTGGACTAGATATGTATTTTGATATTATATGATGTTGTATTAGTACTAGCAGACTTTATAAAGTTCAAGGAAAAATTCCACTATCTTTCAATTCCAGTTTTGAAGTGCTCTCATTATATGTAAGTATGTATGTAAATGTGATAGTTTTGTGTCAACTTGATTGTGACAGGTTTTGTGTCAAGTTGATTCAGACAAGATTCTCACTAGTTTAGCAGTTAAGATGTGGTTATCACCTCCATCATGAGATTAATATAAAGCAATCACCCTTATGATATGATTTGATGAAATATTCAGTAAGAGGATTAAGAAAGGATTGTTGTTGTTGCTAAGTGCTATGGATTGGACTTCTAAACAAACACAAGGTCAGTGGTTCCAGCCCACCAGCCACTCCTCAGGATAAAGATGAAGATTTCTGCTCCCATAAAGATTTAAAGCCTAAGAAACCCTATATAGCATCTATATGAGATGGATCCGACTGGACAACACTTAACAACAACAAAAATTTTAATAAGTTAAGGTGCCCTACTGGTGCAGGTTTAAGTACTCCACTGCTAATCGAAAGGTCAGCCATCAGAATCCACCAGCCACTCCAAAGGATAAAGATACGGCAAAATGCTTTCCTAAAGATTTATAGCCTTCGTAAGCCTATAGGAGCAGTTCTACTCTGTCCGATATGGTAGCTATGAGTCAAAATTGACTCCTTGATAATGGGCTAACTTTAATAAGCTCATTGCCACAGACAAAGGACTTGTCCTCACTTGAAACTTATCCTCACTTGGGATTTGAACATTCAACCCTTGTATACTTACTTGCTTATGGTTGAAAACTTCATTCTTGATAACTCATCTTCCATTCCTTTCACAGCAATACTTTTTCAAACATATTTTGACACCATGGTTAAATAACTTTCCTTATAGAAGAAGCCTCCAGGATTCTTCAATTCAACTATTCTTTTGCCCATGCACTCCAGTGTCTTCGAAATCCTTTTCTTTCATTGACTCTGCCATGATAACACCCAAGCACCAGTCTGACAATAGGATGAGAACTTCAGAAAAGTTTGTTGAAAAAAGGAACTTAAAAATAATGGAATCTTCCCATGAACTTTTGAAGCCCTCTCATAGTAGCTATTTTAGTAGCTAATTCCAAAGGTCAGCTCAAGACAACAAAGTCAAATATTGCAATGAAATGTGAGAAGATCTGGAATCAGAAAACCAAAAGAGAAGAACACACTAAGAATTTTTCAAGCTGGGGGAAACTGAAGAAAGAATTCAAGCCTTGGCTTTCATTATTGAAGGATTCTCTGCACAAATTATTGAATGATGCAGAAAGCATCAAAAGAAGATGGAAGAAATACACAAAATTACTGTACCAAAAGGAAATGGTTGATGTTCAACCATTTCTAGAGGTAGTATATGATCAAGAGCCAATGATAATGAAGGAAGAAGACCAAGGTTCATTGAAGGAATTGACAAAGAACAAGGTACCATGAACTGATGGAATAAAAATGGAAACCTTTCAAGAAAGGGAGGCGGCACTGGAGGCACTCACTCATTTATGCCAAGAAATTTGGAAGAGAACAATCTGGCCAACTGATTGAAAGAGATCCATATTTGTGCCGATTACAAAGAGAGGTGACCCAATGGAATGCAGAAATCATTGAACAATATCTTTGATATCCCATGTGAATAAAGTTTTGCTAAAGGTAATACAGAAACAGCTGCAAGCATATATTGATAGAGAATTTCCAGAGTTCAAGCCAGATTTAGAAGAGGACATGGAATGAGGGATATCATTACTGATGTCCGATGGATCTTGGCTGAAAGCAGAGAATACCAGAAATATGTTTACCTGCACTTTATTGACAATGGAAAGGCTTTCGTTTGTGTGGTTCATGACAAGCTATGGACAACATTGTGAAGTATGAGTGTCCTGGAACACTTAATTGTGCTCATGAGAAATGTGTACATGGCCAAGAAGCAGTTGTTTGAACAGAACATGGTAACACTGGTTTCAAATTAAGAAAGGTGTGCGAGAGGGTTGTGTTCTTTTACCATACTTGTTCAACCCATATGCTGAGCAAATAATCTGAGAAGCTAGACTATATGAAGAAAATCATCAGGATTGGAGGAAGACTCCTTAACAACCTGTAATATGCAGATGATGCAACCTTGCTTGCTGAAAGTATTTAAGAGGACTTAAATACTTACTGATGAAGATCAAAGACCTTTGGTATGGATTGCATCTCAATGTAAAGAAAATCAAAATCCTCACTACTGGACCAATAAACAACATTCTTATCAATGGGGAAAAGATTGAAGCTGTCAAGAATTTCATTCTTCTTGGATCAACCATCAACACTCATGGAAGCGGCAGTCAGGAAATCAAATGATGTATTACATTAGGCAAATCTACTACACAAGATCTTTTTGAAGTGTTGAAGATCAAAGATGTCAGCTTGAGGACTAAGGTGTGCTTGACCCAAGCCTTGGTATTTTCAATAACTTCACATGCATGAGAAAGCTGAACAGTGAATAAGAAGACTGTAGAAGAATTGATGCTTTTGAATTATGGTGTTAGAGGAGAACATTGAAAGTGCCATGGGCTGCCAAAAGAACCAACAGATCTGTGTTGGAAGAAATGCAGCCAGAGTGCTCCTTGGAGGCCAGGATGGCCAAACTTTGTCTCACATACTTTGGACATATTGTCAGGAGGGTCTAATTACTGGAGAAGGTTATCATGCTTGTTAAGATGGAGGGTCAGAGAAAGAGTGGAAGACCCCAACGAGATGGATTGGCAAAGTGGGAGCATCAATGGGCTCAAGCTTGTCAATAATTGTGAGGTTGGCCCAGGACTGGTCAGTGTATCATCTGTTGTGCACAGGCTTTCTTTGAATCGGTACCAACTTGATGGCACCTAACAACAACAACAACATAGTAGCTAGCTTGCATGGAAGGGTTAAAATCCAGGCACTCTTTTAAGCATTTTAAATGTATTGACACATTTACTACTAAAATTTAGATTGTCTTCTTTCTAAACAGAAATAAAATTAGGTAGCATTAGCTTTAATAGCTTCTCCAAAATCACAGTCAATAAATTATAGAACTGGATTTCAAATAACCGCTTGTATTCTTGACCCTAAGCTATTGCTTCTCTTTATTCACCTCTAGGTGCTACTCAAATGGATAGTTAGGCTCTTTAAACTCAACATGACCAAAACAGAACTTTAATCTTTCATCTCATGTTATTGCACTTCTTACATTTCCTATCTTAATGAATTCCACTATTATCCTTTCAGTATCAGGATCAGCAGCTAGAAATCTTATTAAACTTAGGCCTCTTTTTTATTCTCCAAGTGCAGATTTCTGAGGATATATTCAAACACATAAAGGGTTCCATGATCTGGCCTAAGTTTGTTTCTCCAGTTTAACTGCTTTTTATTCTCCTTTCTATAACTGTATGACCCATACCATTAGAATGCTGTCATTTATCAAAGCATACCAAGAAATGCTGCCCTTTCTGTGTTTGTCTGGACCTTTCATGATGTGTAGAATACACCCTTTTCTCCTAGCCCCACCTCACCTCCCCCTCTCACACACTTTCTGCCGGAAAATACTTGCCTTTCAAGGTTTAGCTAAAGGATCTTTTTAATTCTGAAACTTTTCTTTTTGCCTCACTGTACCCTCCATGTTATATTTACCAATGTTTTCCTTATTCCTCAACTTATCCTGTTACATATTTTTTATGCTATAATAATATACTTCGATTATAGTATAATAATACTTACATAGTATAATAATATACTTTATCATGGTATAATAATATTTATATATTCATATCTTTCTTTGACTTCATTTTCATTAGTGTCTCACAGTTGTAGATCTTGTCATATTTATCTTTATATTTTCAGCAACAAGGGATAGTGTAAAACATACAAATTTTAAGTTTAATTATTAAACGAATAGATGAAGATGAGTAATGCTTTATCCTAAGCCTTGTGACATTTCTTAGTTTGACAGAGTAACTCAATTCACCTTTCTCTAATTTAGAGTCCTAGGAGAAGCTTGGATTTGCTAAGACTTAAGTAGAAATTTTGCACATCATAACATGGACTGAGTTAGGTTCTCTTTTAGTATTCTAGGTGTGGCACAATAGCCTAAGCACTGGTTGCAAACTGAAAGGTTGGTAGTTCAAACCTACCAGACACTCTTCAGAGACCCAAAAGGTCACTATGATTCAGAATCAACTTGACAATACTTAACAACAAATTAGGGTTTGTGAGAATTCTGACTCATTTCCTCATTTGCATATGTCTATTTTGAAGGCTGGGTAAGTGTTCCACTATGGACTGAAAGGCTAGTGGTTTGAACCCACCAAGAGGCACCTTGAAAGACATGCCAGATTATCTGCTTCTGAAAGATCACTGTCGTAATAGCCCTCTGGGACAGTTCTACTCTGCACACAGGGTTCTCCATGAGTTGAAATCAACTTGACAGCACTGAATAACAACATTCTGAAGGCATCTGAATATTATCAACAATTTGATTGATGGATGGACATTTCATCATTTAAAAGTATTTCTTTTGATTTCCTTTTATTCTAGGGCTCAAGAAATACATAGAAGACACTGTGAAGAAAAGTTTGTTTTTGATATGATCGCCTTTCAAAATGCCTGTGAACGATTTCAGGAAGCAAAAACAAGAGTTGCAATTGTGAAAACTAAATGTGTCTGTGAATATCCCAAGGAAGTGACAAAATGACCCAAAGACAGATCATAAGCTATGATCATTGTAAATTACAGCCATACATTTTAGCTGAAGGACGTTGAAATAATACTATGTAGGAATACTCTTTGTCCCAATATGTATTTATCTATAAATCACATAAAATATGAACAATAGTTAATTCTCTTATTGATCATAATTTAGCTTAAACCAAGTTTACTAACTTGGCACTTCCCTAAAAGTTTCCTATATCTCCAGATTTTCAAAGAATAAGATTGCATCTATTGCAGACAATATTGCAAAGGCATTGCTTATAAAGTTTGTTTCAGATATTCTCAGAGTATAGCAATTCGTAAACTATTTTCAATTTATCTGGCAACTACAGCATAATTTCTAGCTACTGTCTTTTATTTAGACACCGTGTACTTCAGTTAGTTTCTTACCAGCTTTCTTTTATTTAATTAAATGTCTTGGTTATTTTGCTGAAAATTATCTGAGTATTTTCCCCCAAAATAAAGGTCTTCACTATTTTATCAATCATTTATGCTTATTATAAAACTTCAGAAAATGTAAGTTATAAACATTCAAACATTCCCATATTTTTCTAGTTGGATTTTTATATAAAAATTGCATTCTATCCCTGTGCCTATTTTATCTGTGTGTATGTTTGTGAGGGAGGTAAAGAAACTGAGAAAGAGAAAACACATATAAGTATGTAACTGTGATCATAAAGTATAAAGAAATTGTGTATATTCATTTTAACACTATTTAGGAAATGCTTATAGTAGGAAATTAGAAGTTTACAGAATAATAGCAAGAAGATAAATATTTCTTAATGCAGTTTGAATCCATTTTTAATAGTGCTCAAATTTCTTAAGTATTTTACAACAGTGATTATTCAGTTGTAGTTCTGTAATGTACAGCTAACAAATACCAGTAACAAGAACCAATGATACTACTGAAGGGAGTCCAAGTTGCACTGAAAGCATTGGTTAAAAAACAAAACAACAACAACAACAAAAAAAAAACAGGTTCCAGGATTGAAATAGAAATGGAAAATTTTCAACAATTGTATGCAGCACTGGAGGCACTCACTCATCTACACCAAGAAAGTTGGAAGAGAGCTACCGGGAGAACTAATTGGAAGAGGTCCATTTTTGTGTCCATCACCAAACAATACTAATTATATCATTAGCAAGGAAAATTGTGCTGAAGATAATTAAAAAACAGTTGCAACATACTTCGACAGGAATTGCCAGAAATACAAGGCAGATTCAGAAAAGGACATCAAATAGGGATATCACTGTTGACAGCAGAGGGATCTTGGCTGAAACCAGAAAATAGCAGACAGATGTTTACTATGAAAAGGCTTCCAACTGTATAGTTGATGACAAACTATGGATAACATTGGGAAGAATGGGTATTCCAGAACACTTCATTGTGCTCATGAGGAACCTGGACTTAGACCAGGAGGCAGTTGTCAGAACAGAAAGACGGGACACTGAATGGATAAAAATCAGGAAAGCTGTGTACCAGGATGATATGCTTTCACCATACTTATTTAATCAATCTATATGCTGAACAAATGATCCTAGAAGCTGTACTATATGAAGAAGAATGTGGCGTCAGGTTTAGAGGAAGAATTATTAACAATCTACAATATGCAAATGATATAACCTTGCTTACTGGAAGTGAAGAGGACTTAAAGTACTTACTGATGAATATAAAAAAGCACATATTTGAATATGGATTGTAACTCAATGTAAAGAAATGAAAATCTTCACACCTGGACCAATAAATAACATCATGATAAATGTAGAAATGACTGAAGTTATTAGACACTTCATTTTGCTTGGACCCATAATCAACACTTATGGAAGTTTTTGTTGCTGTTAACTGCCATCAAGTCAGTGCCAATTCATAGCAGCCTTTTATAAGTTTTCCACAGAGTGACTGGTGGATTTGAACTGCCTAGCTTGTGGTTAGCAGTCCAGTGCTTATCCTACAGTGCCATGCCAGGCATCTTGGTAGCAATCATGAAAAAATTGAAGGACGTATTGTACTAGGCAAATCTGCTGTAAAAGATCTCTTTAAAGTATGAATAAGCAAATATATCAGCTTGAGGACAAACATAAGCCTGACCCAAACCATGGTATTTTCAATCACCTGATATGTATAAATACGCAAGGAAGACCATAGAAGAATAGATGCATTTGAATTATGATGTTGTGGAGGAATGTCAAAAGTACAATGGACTGCCAGAATAAACAAATCTGTCTTAGAAGAATATGGCCAGAATGCTTCTTATAAGTAAGGTTGGCAAGACTTCATCACATACATTGGATATGTTATCAGGAGTATTCAGTCCCTGGAAAAGGATATCTTGTTTGGAAAAGTGAAGGGTCATCAAAAAAAGAAGAAGAACACAAACAAAATGGATTGACATGGTGGAAGCAACAATGGCTCAAACCAAACAATGATAGCGAGGATGGCATAGGACGAGGCAATGTTTTGTTCTGTTGTGCATAGGCTCCCTGTGATTCAGAATCCTTTTGACTGACACCTAATAACAAAAACAATAATCTTCTGAAAATTAAGTTATTTTACAACAGTGATTATTCAGTTGTG